ATTGTAAAAGAGGAAGAGGAGAGTGAGTATATGTGTTTTAGGGCAAAAAGGAGTGCATACAGTTCTGTAGTAAGGACACTGGATTCAGGAGGAAGGGAACAGTGGAAGGTGGTGAAGTATCAGAAAGAATGTTATGAGGGGAGGGATCCAGAGAAGGACATCATTGGAGTCAGGTGAGCATTTTTTTTGTACAAAAAAAACTATTATAAAACAATCAAATTGTAATACAGTAAGAAATGATGGTTAATGGTTAATGGTTAATGGTTAATGGTTAATGGTTAATGGTTAATGGTTAATGGTTAATGGTTAATGGTTAATGGTTAATGGTTAATGGTTAATGGTTAATGGTTAATGGTTAATGGTTAATGGTTAATGGTTAATGGTTAATGGTTAATGGTTAATGGTTAATGGTTAATGGTTAATGGTTAATGGTTAATGGTTAATGGTTAATGGTTAATGGTTAATGGTTAATGGTTAATGGTTAATGGTTAATGGTTAATGGTTAATGGTTAATGGTTAATGGTTAATGGTTAATGGTTAATGGTTAATGGTTAATGGTTAATGGTTAATGGTTAATGGTTAATGGTTAATGGTTAATGGTTAATGGTTAATGGTTAATGGTTAATGGTTAATGGTTAATGGTTAATGGTTAATGGTTAATGGTTAATGGTTAATGGTACTATAGTTATGTAGTGAAGGGTGGTTGAGTTCCTGATTAGTTGTCTAAGCTGGGCAAAGGAATTGGTGAGTGAAAGGGTTAAGGTCGGGGTGTGGTAAGGAGTTAGATTAGATGAAGGATATGTATGCGTTTGAGGAAAGAGAACAGGTTGTTGAAGCAGAAAGTGTGGGATTCTGTAAGGATGTCTGATAGGTTGGGAGGTTGGTGAAGGGAGGATAGGTGGAGGAAAGCAGAGGTATGGGCTGCTTCAAAACGTGGGCACGACAATAGGATGTGTGGGATTGAAAGGGGAATATTACGTAAGGAACATAGGGGTGGATCAGATTGTGACATCAGATAGGAGTGTGTTAGACGGGTGTGGCCAATGCGTAAGCGGGCGAGAGTGGTCTCCCAACGTCTGTTCCGATGAAATGGAACTGACCAGGAGGAGATTGATAGTTTTACAGAATGTAATTTATTAGTGCGGAGGCTTGACCAAAAAGATTGCCATCGGTTATACAAGAAGGTCTTAAAGTGTGGGTAATAATCCGTGGCTGGGATACGTGAGAAGCGTGGTTGGTATGATGTGGACATAGCGGCGTGGCGTGCTAGTGTATCTGCCTGTTCATTGCTGGGGATTCCAACATGGCTGGGTACCCAGCAAAATTTGATTGTTTTATGGCGTGTGGACAGGTAGAACCAGTTCTGAATCTTACAAACAAGGGGTTTGGTGGTGTGTATTGACTTTATGAGAGTCAATATGTTACGGGAGTCAGTAAAAATTGTAAAAGAGGAAGAGGAGAGTGAGTATATGTGTTTTAGGGCAAAAAGGAGTGCATACAGTTCTGTAGTAAGGACACTGGATTCAGGAGGAAGGGAACAGTGGAAGGTGGTGAAGTATCAGAAAGAATGTTATGAGGGGAGGGATCCAGAGAAGGACATCATTGGAGTCAGGTGAGCATCAAAGTGGGGGTGGTAAGGATAATTGTGAAGGAAGAGGGAATGGAGAGGAAGGTTTTTTTTGGGTGACTGGGAGGAAGAGGGGTGGGGGTAACTTGAGGAGGTGGAGGATGGATATTGGCAGATACTTTAAATGTAAAGTGAATAAAAGGATGAGCAGGTGGATAAGGGAGTGGATCATTCTCTTGAGTCATGTTTATGAACTTTTGGATGTCTTCAAGAGTTTCTGGAGGGGAGTTGGGTGGGGAAGTCTGAAAAGCAAAGTTTTTCCATATGTGGAGGAGAAGAGGGAGAGATGGGTGTAGAAGAGGATGTGGTAGGAGAAGATGAAGTGGAATGTTTAGATTGTTTGGAGTGAAAAGTAGGGGGAGGGGTGGGCACTGGGGAAGTGGCAGAGATTAGAGCATCTGGATTTAGACTGGAAAATGAAATTGACTGGGGGAGAGATAGGTTGATTTGAGGTTTGTCAACTTGTTTTTGGAGACCTTGTTGAAAGAGAAGGGTATTGTCAGAGTACAGGGCTGTATGAGGAATCACAAAAAAAAACTGATCCCACTTGGCTGGGGCATAAAGGATACTCAAAAGATTTGTAGAGGTAGAAGTAGTAAATGAACGAAGGCGGGAGGAGGATGGAGTAGTATGGAGAGAGGTAGTACCGTAGGAGGACAATAAGGTTGAAGAGTAGTAATAAGGGTGGTGGAGGTAGACAATGAAGAAGATGGAGTGGAGGATGTTGGGAGAGAGGAAGGGGTGTACCATGAAGTATGAGTAATGATGTGGGTGGACAATTTGGAATGGATAGGGGTTGACTGTAAACATCAAGGGTGGGGGTATTAGTATCAGTCAGAGCCATGGTCAAAGGAGAAGCAGGGGTCAGGAAATGGTCTACCCTTCAGGGTTCCCATAAGGGGTAAGGGCTAGACAATTAACCAAAGGAATGCCCATGGCTCCTGGAGGCTGACACAAAGCCAGCCTTTTATCCTTTCAGCATGGCTCTCACACCTTAGGAAGTGGATAGAATGGGATGATGAAGAAGAGAAAGAAAGGAAAGGGGGAGAAAAGACCATGCAAAATTAGTTGAGGCGAGGTCTGAGGTCTAAGGTAGGGATGATCCCCTACATTGGGCCCCAGACTCAATCTCCTAAGCCCTCCAACAATGAGCAAGGGATTGGGGGGAGAGATCAGGGAAGAAAGAATCAGTGAGGAAAGGCAGAGGTGCTGGCTGCAGTAAAGTGTGGACAGGATAACACAATGTGTGGGACTGACAGAGGAATATCCCATAGGGAACATAAGGGTGTATAAGAATGTGACAAGAAATGAGTGGGTGTGGCCAATAAGCAAGAGCTGTATCCCAGTGTCTGTTCTCATGAAATGGGGTTGACCATGAGGAAACTAATAGTTTCGTAATATGTAATAGTATGTAATTTATTAGTGAGAACACATGACCAGAAAGAAGGGGGGGTAATAATCCATAGCTTGAATATGTGAGAAATGGTGTTGGTGTGAAGTGGACATAGCCACAGAGCATGCTACCTGCCTGTTCATTGCTGGAAATTTTGAAATGGCAGGGCACCTAGCAATACCTGACAGATTTGTGGCACGTAGAAAGGCAGAACCACCAGACTTGAATCTTATGGAGAAGGGAGTTGGTAAAGTGCATAGACTGAGATATTATGAGTTAAAAGAGTTTGTAAAAATAAAGGAAGAGGAAGAAGGAAGGGAGTAACTGGGTTTTTAGGTGTACAGTTCTGTAGTGAGGACACTGAACTACGGATGGGATATTTGAGTGTACAGAAGGGAAGACTACTGTGAAACCAGTACCAGAGAGGGATTTAGAGGCATCAATGTAAACATGGGTACTGGAAAAACAAGAGCAAATACAGGGGCAAGGTATAAGTCATAGAGGAGCAAAATGGATAGAAAAGGGAAGACATAGATAGGAAAAGGGGAATTTGGAGAGTATCCAATGCAAAGGTAAATATGTATTGGTATTTTAAACCTCAAAGCATAAAGAATATAGTCATATACAGATACAGATGAGCTGTATGAGGTATTTTGTGATAGTTTTTGCCATCCTTTTAATAAACCATGTATACTATGTAAATCTTTATCTTTAGCAAAAACTTGTAAATATGAATTATTAGCAGCTACCCAGAACCACCACGCAACTTTAGATATGGTTCGATGTGGAGATAACTTTTTCAAATATCAGTAATTCTTTAAATACCCAAATGTTCATGTCAAGAAGGCATTTCCTCTAAACTTTGTTATATATTCTCATCAATATGAATAGGAAGGTTCAATACAAAATGAAAAAGGTTTCCTTTCACAATCATTCTGATTGGTCATGCCTTTTCAATTACATCTGGTCCCAAGCTTGTGCACTATCTCCCCTGACTGACCTCACTGGCAAACCTATTCTTGCCCAGCCTCACTCCTTCCTTAACCCCTTCATGACGGGTGATGCCGATAGGCGTGAAAACAAACAGCTCGAAACATGGCATGTGGCTGTACACCACAGCGGCGAGCCAGTGATTTGGGCTGATGTACCGAACTTATGCGCTCAAAGCCGGTGCGCTGCCATTGTTTACCAGAGCGTAGAGTTTTTAAAAAATTTTCTTCACCCGTCACCATTGGGTTAATACTTGTACTGGAACCGTTTGTCTCCCCGACTGATTGTCCATGACAAGGGCTGGTCATAACCTGCTCGTCTGCCTCACTGACTATGATGCAGCAGCAGTACAGTGCTACACTATTACTCCAGAGGCCAGTGGAAGTCCTACACCAATATTGTCAAGATTAGCTTCTCCATGAAGTTATAATGGTAGTGTGTCTTGCCCTTTCCAAGCATATCAACCCCTTCTCCATCAGTGTCAGAAATGTTGCTCCAAAGCCTACAGCCCTCTTTGTGCCTAACCTGGTCATGACCGTTGAAATTGCTCGGTTCATTTATGTATGTGCACCAGTTTTGGTGGCAGTGATGATTCTCTACATTGGGTTTCAGTCTGTCTCCTAAGCCACTCCATAATATTAATTATGGTAATTTATGATGCATGTTTTTCTTCTGAACAAAAACAATCACTAAAACCTTTCTTCTGACAATCTAATTTCCACAATTCATATGAAGCAAAACTGGGATATATCTCCTCTCTATGTTAGTCTACATACAGAGGATACAGAGCTGAGAAAATTCACATATCCACAATATGGAGACAGGAGAAAGAAAAAATGTGAAAGCAAGGGGAGACAAAAGAGCAAGAGAGAAATGAAAGAAGATGGAGAGGAGAAAAGCAAAAGAGACATACAACATCCCATGCCAAGGTGTGAAGATCTGAGTACACGATAACTTCTTTTCATTAGGGTATCAAGAAGAGACGTTAACATGGATTGAGGAAATTTAATGATACAATGTACCATCACTTCAAATAGTTTTCATTGTAAGTATAAAGATGATACAAGGAACAACTATCCTGATACAAAGTGCTAACTTCTAATCTCTATAAATATAGTTCTGAACTCTCATACACAAATATTCATTTGTACAATGCAATCCAATGATGGTGACAAGACATTTGCTTCACCAACATTGAGAGTAAAATCCTTATTTTATGACCACACACACAAAAATGAGAATATAACTAAGTTTTCACATTCGCACTTGTCTGTTATTAGCTTGCTTTGCAAAGTAAGCAAATGGTTTGAAATGACAATACTTAAAATAAACATGCATTCTATTTGATCACTGTATACAACAAACTCAAACATGTGGAGACTGATGATGATAAATATTTCTTTTACAGTAGAAAAACTGTATGAAACACCTTGATAACGGTAACAGAAGGCAAAATAAAGTGCACTAAAACCATACCATGCAACATCCTGTAATTTACTCATCTAACACCAAAGCCTGACACTCCACATATTCAGTGGTATAACTAATCTCACTCAAGAGCTTGGGTAATTCATTCAGAATATGTATTCCTTTGTGGCCACTTCCAAAGGGGTATGATTCTGGTTCACTTAAAGTAAGATATTTTTCATTAGTAACCAACATGTAGCCTCAGCAGCCTTCTTCATTCAACTAAACACTTTATATTCTGTAATACAAATCAATGATCATTCTTGATCAAATTCTATTTGAGTGAAATCCTACATAAAGCTATATAAAGTAAGATACAACTAAGCATGTAAGTGAAGCACAAAGAGCACTTAACCTCTTTACTTTCACACAAAAGATAACATATAAAATTAACTTGATACTTGAACTTCTTTACTTATTGAGTCAGTTATTCTTGGTTTAGTGTGGGCATATGGTTTATTTTTGGATTTATTATATATATATATATATATATATATATATATATATATATATATATATATATATATATATATATATATATATATATATATATATATGTGGCTAATAGTCCTTTAGCAGTATTATGGACAAGCCTTAACATTTCTTAAATCCTGTATTTCTTTTACATATTACAATTACATTCTTAAACACAATTAAGCAGAAGTTTTGCAAATTCCCACATAAAAAGATAATAAAAAATAAAATAAACCATTGAAGCCATTTTAACTGCTTGATGAATTCCATATCATGTTTCTTGGTCCATTACTGAACAAGTGCTTCATTTCTAGACAGGAATCACATGAACGGAATAATTATCTTTATCAACTACAGTTTATCACATCATGGAAACATGGAAAACGCTGCAGAACCTTGACACAGACACATGTAAATCATATTAATAAACATAAAATAAGTACATATCTTCAGCTGCTTCTGCAAGTCATCTGTTTTGTTACAAAAGAAAGCTATCACCAAGACTAGATTCCATCTTTGATGTATGAAAAAATCCTTTTTATTTTTATCTGCCTATGGGGTGAAAATATTACTCTATCATGAGCACAGATGACTTATATTTGGCAAAACATGAAGAGATGTTTGTTTTGGGCTTAGACTGGAGCATCTTTCATGTACTGGTCAAGTTCAGAATCCAGGGCAGTCTTAGTCTTGCTCATGTACTCATCCAACTGCTGGTCGAGCTCTTCCCGGGTGCAGTTCCCTGTTCCGTTGGCCTTGGCAGCAACCCCACCTCGTCCACCTCTGACTCCACGCCCTCCACGACCCATGCGTCCTCCACGACCACGACCCCTATAGCCAATAGATTTTTTTTTAAACATTTATATTTGAAGATAATATCTAAAAAGCTTATAACTATATCACACCAATGTGGTTTAAAAAACAGTTTCCAAGCACTCGTTACAGCTCATAATAGAAACGAATAGCCAGTTATATTAACCTGAATGCCTTAATTTCTCCACGTCCTTGGTTCTGAATGAAACCCCTGCCACGCACTGCTCCTCTGCCCGTACCACGTCCCTGCATTAGACCACGGGTGCCACGGCCGCGTAGGAACCTTCCCCCACGAGCACCACGCAATCCACCTCGGGCACTTCCAATAGTGCCGCCACGTCCTAAAGTAGAGTGAGAGAGAAAATTTAACATAAATACTTGTACTGATTTGGTTATGAATGCTTTACTTCAATTCTTAAACATCCCCTTCTGCTGCCTTCAGTGTGAAAACAAGAATCAAAATTTTCTTTTCTGGATAATTCTGAGTAATTTTTTGATAATAATTACATAATAACTATTTGTTATTCTCTATTACTTATGAGGAGATGTCCTCATCACCCTGAACTTAGCAATTTCCCATGGCTAAATATAGACAAGACTCAAATATCTAGAGGTTTAAATAGTAGGACAATAATATATCAGGAGGTAACTCTGATATATAATAATACGGGTGTGGTGGGGTAATCTGAGAAAAGGAAGGGATATAGGGCTAAGCAGGTTGAAATATGCCTTACAAAAATACCACTGTGACTGGTAGCACGCACGCACGCACACACACACACACACACACACACACACACACACACACACACACATATATACACACACACACACACACATATATACACACACACACACACACATATATACACACACACACACACACATATACACACACACACACACACACATATACACACACACACACACACACATATATACACACACACACACACACATATATACACACACACACACACACATATATACACACACACACACACACATATATACACACACACACACACACATATATACACACACACACACACACATATATACACACACACACACACACATATATACACACACACACACACACATATATACACACACACACACACACATATATACACACACACACACACACATATATACACACACACACACATATATACACACACACACACACACACATATATACACACACACACACACACATATATACACACACACACACACACATATATACACACACACACACACACATATATACACACACACACACACACATATATACACACACACACACACACACATATACACACACACACACATTTTTTATACAGTCATTCATTCCACTGCAGGACATAAGCCTCTCAATTCAGTATTGAGAGGTTATATGGCAGCGTCACCCTTGCCTGATTGGATGCCCTTCCTAATAAATCAATGTATAAAAAAAAAAAAAAAAAAAAAAATATAATATAATATATATATATATATATATTTATACACATTTACATACATACACATATATGCCCCCCCCCCCCCACCACCACACACACCAGTCTTCCTTCTATCTCAAAGGTGGGCACCTATGTTATTCCTTGGGCCTCCTGTGATAAGAAATACTTTGGCGAGACATGTGCCACTAAGTGTCTGTCTCAACATGAGTATGCTATATCCAGGAGACACAGCAACAATGCTCTCTTTTGCCATCAGTGGGACACAGGCCATCAGCAGCATGAACTGTCTTTCCTTTTGCTGAAGTCCATGCCTGCAGACTGGTGGAAACCTCTTCAATCCAACAATCCAATGCCAATGGGCATGGCATGTACATGCATGACAATGAGTTTTCTTTATTAACTGTTATTAACTACTAATTGACTCCTTTATGACTAAGCACTAGCAGAGCCATCTATGTGCAAAGACATAACACTCACTCACTCACTAACTCACTCACTCACTCTCTACTGTGGGGGTAAAAACATTTGGGACATGTGCATTTCTCTGTACAAATATATGTGCACTTTTGGTATGCAGGGGTAATGCCAAGAGTCGGGAGAATAAACACAAACCTCTGATACCAAGAGCACCTCTGCCCCCTCTGAAGCCAGCTCCTCTGAGTCCTCTGTAACTTGCCCCTCTTGCTCCTCGAAGGCCACCTCGTCCCCTAACCTGGATGTTCCCACCTTCTTCAGGAATGCTCAGACGGCCTTTCACGGCTAGTCTTTGTTTCACCGACAAGGGTCTCTGTCCATTGAGGCGCTGCTCCACACTCTTCTGTAAGGTTATTTTTCAATTCAAATGCTACTCAGATTCTTATCTCATAACCCTTAACCCCTTCCTGACGGGTCATGCCTATAGGCGTGACTACAAATCATTCAAACTGTAGCGTGTGGCTGTGGAAAATATCAACACAATGAATTTTTTCCCCACGCATGGGAGATGTGTTCATGGATGTACTATTTTATATCAATGTTTCAACTCCACCCATCCTAACCTGAAATTTATTATTAGAGGCCCACCTCCTGTCCACTGTGCTTATTTTTTCATCAGAGAAGCCTAGCCATGATTATAATTTTCATCAGAAATGCACTAAATATTTTTCTAGATTCTGTATCTACAGATTGAAGAAACAAACCATGAACATGGAGATTATTTTTGTTTTTGATATAGTGATTGCAAATATTTGGGAACTTTTATCTCTCTGTATGTGTACATAAAGTTTCAACATATAATATGGCACTGACAGCAATGAATATTATGAATTTTAAGAGGTCTTGTAAAGTTAATCAAGTTAAATAAACATGCTCATATGAAGTCCATAAAAAAAAAAAAACACGAAAATTCTATGTTGTTCCTGTAATTGGATGATGGATATAAATGGTATTGCCAGGATAAGAGCTCTCTCCTCCTATACAGTTAAGAAGAAATGTCCTGTCTTTACTTCCATTCAAAGGAGCATATTCAATATGCTAACAACTCTTGAAAACCAAATGAGAGATGGGCAGACAGAGGAATGGGTAGATGTGTGAGTGAGAATGAGTGAGACTACATATGTATGAGAGAGAGAGAGAGAGAGAGAGAGAGAGAGAGAGAGAGAGAGAGAGAGAGAGAGAGAGAGAGAGAGAGAGAGAGAGAGAGAGAGAGAGAGAGAGTCAGAATCTCTGGACAAGTCTTGGGCAGCCACTCGTTCTGTTATATTTTTGTTGATACTTGAGCCATATGGAATGAGGCGTTTGATAGTTTTCCCCTAGTTCACCCTATGCCTGGCAGTGCATTCAACAGCCAATTAGCATTTAATAATGGTGTTAGCGAAATGCATTAGACTTTCATATCCACAAAAGATGACTTTACTTTATTAACCCAATGGTGACGGGTGAAGAAAACTAAAAAACTCTACACTCTGGTGATCAATGGCAGTGCGCCGACTTTGAGCGCGGGAGTTCAGTACATCAGGCCGAATCACCGGCTCGCCGCGCTTTGGCATGCCACCGCAGCATACAGCCGCACGCCACATTTCGAGCGATTTGTTTTCACGCCTATAGGTGTCACCCGTCGTGAAGGGGTTAACACTAGAAGATATTTCCAATATGACCCGCTGAAAATAGTTCAGGAAAATGAAAACCTGCAGAGACTGTACAGAGAATGAATATCTAAAGCAGAATAGTAAATTAAGACAAATATATTTTTGTACTTATCACAATAGACTCGACACAAGTGGATAGACAATTGGAAAGTGCATTTGATACATGACACCTCTTCCTATCATAAATATCTTATTGCAAGCTGCCTCACAAGGACTGAGGGTTGGCCAATTTGCCTAAATCATGGGTATTTTCTACCCAGGACTGTCCTTGGGAGAACCTCATAGGGGAGTTTGCCTTTTGGTAATCAAACCAAGTGGCCATAAAGCCTGAGTTTGTACAAATAACAGGTTGTGTGACAGTATCACAGTTACCTTTGATTGGACACACAATTCTGCCAACTATACCCAATGATCTGATGGAAGGACCTTTTGCATACAAGTCTCCAAGGCATGGCTACATAACAAAGACATCTCAGGTGCTTGAAGATGCCTTGTGTGGTAATATAGTCTCCCTATATTCTTACTGATAGGGTTTATAATTCCTACAACTAAGCAAATCTATCTCTTACCTGCTTGACTTTAATGTCCTTTTTACAATCACATATTGACTGAACAGGTTACCCACATAAGCATTTAAATTTAACTCCTTGGTGCCGGGTGACGCCGATCAGTGTGTAAACAAAGCGATCGAAAGCTGGCGTGCAGCCGAACGAGCCGGCGGCGTGCCAAAGCGCGGCGAGCCAGTGATTCGGGCTGATGTCCCCTACTCACGCGCTCAAAGTTGGCGCACCGCCTTTGTTTGTTTAAGCGTAGAGTTTTTTTTTGTTTTGTACACCCGGCGCCATTGGGTTAAATAACTAAGTATATATTACTTACCTTTTTCAGCTTCAAGGCTGCTACAACTGCTGGGCGGCGTTCCATCTGAGCTGCCAAACGCTGGTTCTTTCTTGATGCTTGGGCCTGCTGCCGCCTCTCTTCTAGTCCCGCTACTGACTGTCCTTGTCCCGTTGGCTTCTCCTGTCGCAGCACCGTGAATCTGCGGCGGGACCAGTCTGGCGGTCACTGATGAGTCATTACTAGTAGCGGAGGAATATGGTGACCCGAGGATGAGGAGCTTGCCCTCCTCTAGACTGGTTGTGTGGGTTCTTTCCTTTCTCCTCAGTCACATTCCTGTATTTTATCCCCTCTCATGCATCTTGTGTGCCTACACATGCAGCCCTCTAGGTGCCTTCCTTTATGTACATAAAACCCAGCAGCCACAGGTGCCACAATACCAAAAAAATAACTAGGACACACGGAATAAACTCTAAAAAACTTCCCAATCCACAGCTATTGTTACAGTCTGACTTTTTAAACTTGTGGTTTCTTGAGGAGCACTTCATATTTCTCCAGTTTCATATCTGTCTTATTATTATATGTTGTAGCCCTGTGCCATTTAGTTTGCTTTTGCAAGCATAATGTGTTAGAGCCCTTAATTCTGTTGTAATGCCTTCTTGTTCCAGGCATATTTACTGCTTTTCTGGGAAAAAATTTCAGTAATGCTGGTCTTGAACTTCTCTTGAGCTTCACTCTGAAACAAACAAATTATTCTTCCCAAAACAGTACTGGTTTCCATCTGTTACTAGAAAAGAAGGGAGGTAGTGGTGGCAATAAAGGAGGGAAAGTACATAAGTAAAATAACTGATACCTCCTTGATAATATCAACATAATTATATGTAATAATAAAGCAAATGCAGGGTAGTATTGCTACCAATTAGCATTCAACTTCCGAGCTGGATAAATTAAAGAATCTGTCAAGACTAGAACCAAACCAAAACTAATGCAACCCCCAAGGCCAGTCACAGGATTGGACTTCTTGATGACAACTGCATCTACTCTGATTTTCCTATAAAGTAGCTATGAGCAAACTAGAACTTGCACAGCATTCCCTCTTCCACCAATAAGCTACACACACTATTTTGGCATTGTAAGTCTTACTCAGGTGAAAGATGTAAGAACAGCTCATCATACGATTCATATCAATCAAAACAAAGATGAGGCACTGACCTCAGTATCAGAAAGAAGAAATGCACTTTGATGTTTGGAGTTAGACTACATTCTTCACCTTACAAAACTGACTGAGTCCAGTCCGGCTCAAAATGACAATATATTGTTCATTTCATAGTGTGGAGGTTTCCTTTTGCCCTTGCACAAAAATGAATTCTCTTGCAAACACCCATTAATATTGAGATACATTATATTAGCTAACTAATCTCTTAATTTTGATAAAAGTGAGAATTCCGAATAAGAAATACTTGGACTCCTAAACGTGATATTTAAACTCCTAGTTACTGACTACAGAATTGTTCCAGAAACAGAACTTTCCCCTCTGGATGGCAAATCTTGTTTCATGTTTATTCTTTCTATTAATTTGTTATCCATACAGACTTCTATTGGTTTTCGTATTTCTTTACTAGATATAAACATTTTCTTTATTTGTATTTTACAAACAATTACTGACAAACTGAAAACCTGTTGGCACAAAGGAAATATTCCAAACACAAAAGACCATAAATAAACAGCATTAGCATCTACCAGGAAAATGAAGGCTTGTCATGCATGCAGAGTTCAGTAATTATTCAGTAGTTGGATAATTATTTTTTACAACTCTGTTTGTTTGAAAAAAAAAAAAGATAAAAATCACAAAATTAAAAAAGTACTGTGAACCTAATGCGTGAAAAAGGCAAAACCATTTCACAGACCACTTTTAAGGAAAGGGCTAAAAACAATTGAAAAACTTTTAATATTTTGTTGACATTTAGCTACAGCTTGTGATAGAAAAGAAGAAGAGGAGGAGAAGGGGGATAGAAAAGAAGAAGAGGAGGAGAAGGGGGATAGAAAAGAAGAAGAGGAAGGGGATAGGAAGGAAGAAGAGGAAGGGGATAGGAAGGAAGAAGAGGAAGGGGATAGGAAGGAAGAAGAGGAAGGGGATAGGAAGGAAGAAGAGGAAGGGGATAGGAAGGAAGAAGAGGAGGAGAAGGGGGATAGAAAAGAAGAAGAGGAGGAGAAGGGGGATAGAAAAGAAGAAGAGGAAGGGGATAGGAAGGAAGAAGAGGAGGAGAAGGGGGATAGAAAAGAAGAAGAGGAGGAGAAGGGGGATAGAAAAGAAGAAGAGGAAGGGGATAGGAAGGAAGAAGAGGAGGAGAAGGGGGATAGAAAAGAAGAAGAGGAAGGGGATAGGAAGGAAGAAGAGGAGGAGAAGGGGGATAGAAAAGAAGAAGAGGAGGAGAAGGGGGATAGAAAAGAAGAAGAGGAGGAGAAGGGGGATAGAAAAGAAGAAGAGGAAGGGGATAGGAAGGAAGAAGAGGAGGAGAAGGGGGATAGAAAAGAAGAAGAGGAAGGGGATAGGAAGGAAGAAGAGGAGGAGAAGGGGGATAGAAAAGAAGAAGAGGAGGAGAAGGGGGATAGAAAAGAAGAAGAGGAAGGGGATAGGAAGGAAGAAGAGGAAGGGGATAGGAAGGAAGAAGAGGAAGGGGATAGGAAGGAAGAAGAGGAAGGGGATAGGAAGGAAGAAGAGGAGGAGAAGGGGGATAGAAAAGAAGAAGAGGAAGGGGATAGGAAGGAAGAAGAGGAAGGGGATAGGAAGGAAGAAGAGGAGGAGAAGGGGGATAGAAAAGAAGAAGAGGAAGGGGATAGGAAGGAAGAAGAGGAAGGGGATAGGAAGGAAGAAGAGGAAGGGGATAGGAAGGAAGAAGAGGAGGAGAAGGGGGATAGAAAAGAAGAAGAGGAAGGGGATAGGAAGGAAGAAGAGGAAGGGGATAGGAAGGAAGAAGAGGAGGAGAAGGGGGATAGAAAAGAAGAAGAGGAAGGGGATAGGAAGGAAGAAGAGGAAGGGGATAGGAAGGAAGAAGAGGAAGGGGATAGGAAGGAAGAAGAGGAGGAGAAGGGGGATAGAAAAGAAGAAGAGGAGGAGAAGGGGGATAGAAAAGAAGAAGAGGAGGAGAAGGGGGATAGAAAAGAAGAAGAGGAAGGGGATAGGAAGGAAGAAGAGGAAGGGGATAGGAAGGAAGAAGAGGAAGGGGATAGGAAGGAAGAAGAGGAAGGGGATAGGAAGGAAGAAGAGGAGGAGAAGGGGGATAGAAAAGAAGAAGAGGAAGGGGATAGGAAGGAAGAAGAGGAAGGGGATAGGAAGGAAGAAGAGGAGGAGAAGGGGGATAGAAAAGAAGAAGAGGAGGAGAAGGGGGATAGAAAAGAAGAAGAGGAGGAGAAGGGGGATAGAAAAGAAGAAGAGGAAGGGGATAGGAAGGAAGAAGAGGAAGGGGATAGGAAGGAAGAAGAGGAGGAGAAGGGGGATAGAAAAGAAGAAGAGGAAGGGGATAGGAAGGAAGAAGAGGAAGGGGATAGGAAGGAAGAAGAGGAAGGGGATAGGAAGGAAGAAGAGGAGGAGAAGGGGGATAGAAAAGAAGAAGAGGAGGAGAAGGGGGATAGAAAAGAAGAAGAGGAGGAGAAGGGGGATAGAAAAGAAGAAGAGGAGGAGAAGGGGGATAGAAAAGAAGAAGAGGAGGAGAAGGGGGATAGAAAAGAAGAAGAGGAAGGGGATAGGAAGGAAGAAGAGGAAGGGGATAGGAAGGAAGAAGAGGAAGGGGATAGGAAGGAAGAAGAGGAAGGGGATAGGAAGGAAGAAGAGGAAGGGGATAGGAAGGAAGAAGAGGAAGGGGATAGGAAGGAAGAAGAGGAGGAGAAGGGGGATAGAAAAGAAGAAGAGGAAGGGGATAGGAAGGAAGAAGAGGAAGGGGATAGGAAGGAAGAAGAGGAGGAGAAGGGGGATAGAAAAGAAGAAGAGGAAGGGGATAGGAAGGAAGAAGAGGAGGAGAAGGGGGATAGAAAAGAAGAAGAGGAAGGGGATAGGAAGGAAGAAGAGGAAGGGGATAGGAAGGAAGAAGAGGAGGAGAAGGGGGATAGAAAAGAAGAAGAGGAGGAGAAGGGGGATAGAAAAGAAGAAGAGGAGGAGAAGGGGGATAGAAAAGAAGAAGAGGAAGGGGATAGGAAGGAAGAAGAGGAAGGGGATAGGAAGGAAGAAGAGGAGGAGAAGGGGGATAGAAAAGAAGAAGAGGAGGAGAAGGGGGATAGAAAAGAAGAAGAGGAAGGGGATAGGAAGGAAGAAGAGGAAGGGGATAGGAAGGAAGAAGAGGAGGAGAAGGGGGATAGAAAAGAAGAAGAGGAAGGGGATAGGAAGGAAGAAGAGGAAGGGGATAGAAAAGAAGAAGAGGAGGAGAAGGGGGATAGAAAAGAAGAAGAGGAAGGGGATAGGAAGGAAGAAGAGGAAGGGGATAGGAAGGAAGAAGGAGGAAGAGAAGGGGGATAGGAAGGAAGAAGGAGGAGGAGAAGGGGGATAGAAAAGAAGAAGAGGAAGGGGATAGGAAGGAAGAAGAGGAAGGGGATAGGAAGGAAGAAGAGGAAGGGGATAGGAAGGAAGAAGAGGAAGGGGATAGGAAGGAAGAAGAGGAAGGGGATAGGAAGGAAGAAGAGGAAGGGGATAGGAAGGAAGAAGAGGAAGGGGATAGGAAGGAAGAAGAGGAAGGGGATAGGAAGGAAGAAGGAGGAAGAGAAGGGGGATAGGAAGGAAGAAGAGGAAGGGGATAGGAAGGAAGAAGAGGAAGGGGATAGGAAGGAAGAAGGAGGAAGAGAAGGGGGATAGAAAAGAAGAAGAGGAGGAGAAGGGGGATAGAAAAGAAGAAGAGGAAGGGGATAGGAAGGAAGAAGGAGGAAGAGAAGGGGGATAGAAAAGAAGAAGAGGAAGGGGATAGGAAGGAAGAAGAGGAAGGGGATAGGAAGGAAGAAGAGGAAGGGGATAGGAAGGAAGAAGGAGGAAGAGAAGGGGGATAGGAAGGAAGAAGGAGGAAGAGAAGGGGGATAGAAAAGAAGAAGAGGAAGGGGATAGGAAGAAAGGAGGAAGAGAAGGGGGATAGGAAGGAAGAAGAGGAGGAGAAGGGGGATAGAAAAGAAGAAGAGGAGGAGAAGGGGGATAGAAAAGAAGAAGAGGAGGAGAAGGGGGATAGAAAAGAAGAAGAGGAAGGGGATAGGAAGGAAGAAGAGGAAGGGGATAGGAAGGAAGAAGAGGAAGGGGATAGGAAGGAAGAAGAGGAAGGGGATAGGAAGGAAGAGGAAGAGGAGGGGGGGAATAAGAAGAAAGGAGGAAGAGAAGGGGGGGAACAAGAAGAAAGGAGGAAGAGAAGGGGGATAGGAACAAAGAAGAGAAGAAGGGGGATAAGAAGAAAGGATGATAATGAGATTCTAAAAGCACAAGTAAATAGAATATTGTCCAAATTTCCTGGGGGACATGGTCACCTTAAAATTTCTCAAACCACCAACTTCTTTGCTCCACACTACTTAGTCTTACCTAGAACTGCATATAAAACACTTTAATTGCACACATGCACACACACTCACTGTCATCCCTCCCTCAGACACAAACTCAATTAATACCCAATATTAACCCAAATCTGAAGGGCATGGTACGTACGTACATACCATGCCCACTGTGTGTTTATTTTATTGATTATTTTTACACATAGATAGCTACACTTGGACTAAGTCACCAATGAGCCATTTATGAGTACTGCCTGTTTTGTCTGTTTACCCCTTTCCTTGATTTTCAAGAAATATTTAATGTTATCTTATGTTGCTGTTACTAATGTCTATAACATTACAGTAATGATAATGTCTTTTATAAAAATAACACCACTGATAGTCATAGCATCAAGATAATTTGAAATTGGGTAAGGTCACAAGGTCTACAAAATGACTCCTTTGTGGCTAAGACTAGCAGAGCCATCTATGTGCAGAGACATTTCACTCACTCACTCACTCACTCACCCACACCCCCCCCTCCCACACACACTTACACACACACAAAAAGTATAGCACTTTCCAGTGGCATCAAGTTATATCAATCACTGTCTCGCACTCTCTCATACACACTCCTGTCTCTCACACAGACACAGACACACTGTTTCATTGTAATTTTACGAGGCAAATTGTTAAAAGATTTATGAACTATTAATGGATAAAATCATTTAAATTTATTGAATGAGTGGTCAAATGAATAGTGAGAAGTGTAAACATTAACACATTCTTTACCTACCTACCGATGTCAGGTCACACACCATAACCTTTTAAATACTCAGTCATAAAAGTAACAGGAATCCACAATTTACCTTTTTATCAAATATACATGTACAGGGAAATCTCCATTTACCACTCCTCTTCATAATATAACACAAGATAGATGCAAATTACCATTTTTACTAATTTCTTCATAATGATGATCTTCGTGTTCCTCTTCATTCTGCTCATTACTAACCTCTTGATGCTATCTTTCAATCCAGTGTTTGGGCTGGTCTTTTCAGCATTCTTTGGGCTATAATCTGGGAGAGGTCCCATGTCTGATTATCCTTCTGCTTTTCAGAAGTGTTAACAATAAAATCTTCATGGCAAGGCTTAAAATAAAACTGCATGGCTCCTAATAACCACATATCTGTAAATGTTCAGTCAACCCACTCAGTCCTTCAGAGGAGGCTTGGCTTTTGTGCCCAACACAGAGAATCTTGTGGCTATCCATCTCAATGGATAATTACTGACCAACTCCCTTAATAGAGTCTGGCATTTGGATAGTGAAACTCATTCATTGAATGTCCAGTGGCTCAGTCCACACATCCAAAGCAAAAGCAGGTATCTGAATACTCAAGTCTTCTGCTGAGCTCTGCACTTCCATGACCACTTCTCAATGTGTCTAGGACATCAAAAGCTAATGGAGTCTTTGCTCCCTTTTTCCTCAGTTACTAGTACTGCAATATGTAAGTACTCAGCCTTCAGATTATCTGAATACTGGACTATCTGGGCCATTCACTGTTCATCTGCCATTTTCCAAGTCCTAAGAACTCTCTTATGTATCTTACAAGTTTTGATGATTCTCCTTCACGCTGCTTGATGGTGAGAATACAAAGAACAGAAAGAACTGCCATTCTCCCTGTGGCTGTGGCTTTTAGCACTGGTTTAACAATTAATAACATTGTCAAGACAAATAAGAAAGAGCACAGGAGGACCTTCAGCTTTCTTTAATAAGCTTTGCAAGGGCCTCCTGCATGTGACACCTGCGGTTTGTATTTGTTGTAATGCTGCACACTTTCTTTCATAAGTAGTGCAGCCAAAAAGGCCTATTGCACTACTTCAAGCTACAATTAAAACAGGCCCTATACAAGATCAAGTTTTATCTGTGAAGAGGTCTACAGTTATCAGAAAACAACAATTAAATGGGCCATAAGAACATTTGTTTTGGGAACTGTCAAAGATTTTCAGCTTTCTTTGATAAGCTGAAACATTGGTGAAGTGTGGGCTTTTGAGAGGGGAAATGGGAGGATAAAGAAACTGCCAAAATTGGCATCAACTTTTCCAGTTGAAAGACTAGTCAACCAAATGCGTTGGTTAGGTTGTAAGGCCTCACCGGTCGTTCAGGGACATCCGTGTTGTTGATTTTAAAATTATCTTGCCGACCGACATCTGAAATTACAACAAATGTAGGGAATTAATGCATATTCAAAAGGGCAAATCAGTTTATATATTGAGTATGAATGGAATAGTGTTTAGCTTAAATCCTTTTCAAATAAACGGTTTAATGCACAAAAGTTTTACATTATACTCACACAATCCCAATCATATTAATTTTTCCTCTAGTCATTACTTTTACTTATTTATTTCAGAGTGAGAATGAGAGAGATTGAGAGTGTGAATGAGTGAGTGAATGAATGAGGGAGAGTGTGTGTGAGTCATAACTTTTTACACTAGCAGAGCCATCTATATGCAGAGAAGCTTCACACACACACACAAAAAAAAGAGTACTGCATTTCCCCAGCTGCACTCGGTTAAGTTTCCTGATGACCCCATCAAATTTATGTACAAATCATTGTTTAATGATTGATGGCATTTGCAAATTTTAGAAAGAAAGGGAAAAACAACAATAACAACAACAGTAGTGCTGAGTCAAGCCATCTACGCGGATGTCTCTCTCAAATGAGAAACTTTCAACACATTTTGGAAATAGAGTTTGCAAACCTTAGTGATGATTATTGTCAAATATATATAAAGAGTTCAATACTCATACTTGCTAATAAAATGTAAGAAAGAATTCATTTACTTCTGTCTGAGCACCAAATACTTTGGAGGCTGTAGTGGTCACTTCAAGCTGCACAGCTTAAAACTATTACGGATCCTACATAAATATGAATACTTTTATCCTGATTTTGTCACGCGTGCTGTGGCACAACACGCAATCCATCAATTGTTGTTTGAAATAGCCAATCATTAATCACTTTCAGTAATATTGTGTGTATTGTACTATTAGAATTAAGGGATTTCTACTACATGTACTTCCTTATCATTTGAAGATATTTACTTTGTGCAATACATAGATTTAGCTGGTTCTCATATTGCAGTAATTAAATCGCACTAACCTTATATCTGTTATTATGCTTCACCATCATATGTCCTCAACATGGTAGTATTTCTAGCAGTAGACGAATTTTGCAATATGTAAAACATCCAGCTGGTTCTCAATATATTATATCATTTCATATATACACATGCTGACAGCGGGCAGACACACACTA